TTTCTCTGCAATGCCACAGGGGTTTAACTTTGTAAGTGATATTACCTGTCGAAGAGTTTGGGCAGAAAAACGGCATGGTCAGATTTGCATTGCAGAGAAAGAAGCCTATTGTATTAACACAGATGCATCTTCCTGCCTTCTCCTTAGTTCCCTTAGAGTCAATTTTTAGCGTAGCAGTCCAAGTGATCCTTTTAAAACATGTCAGATCATGTTACTCTTCTCAAAACTCTGGCATTATTCAGATCTTGGTTTCTAGGCACTGCTTCCTTTTAAAAGGAACCAGGGGTCCTTAGATAAATGGTGGATTCTAGGTACGAGACAGGGAAAAATGCAAGATGAACATAGAGCATCATATGGAAGAAAGTAAGAAAGTGCTGAAAGAATGATGGCTATCTGCCAAAAGGACACAAAAGCCAGTTTGAAAGGGCTCCCAGTGGACAAATCGGGGACAATTTGAGCACCAACATAGTAGTAGTAATAGATTATAACTCACTAATTAAAATAGCAATCCGTCAGTCTATACTGATAAAAATGAATGAATGAACAAATATGAGAGAAGGGAAAACTCTTACTTTCCATAGAAAACTGATTAATAAATGTGGAAAAGTGATGGAAATAGAAAATCAGCATTTGGTAACCATCAGGCGATAATTAGCAATGAATGCTAGAACTATTGGTTGGAGGTTTGAGGAGGAAAAGGATATTTACACAAACTCAAAGTATTTTCCCATAGATCACTTACAAATTACAAATGGGAAAATGATACCTTTACAGTGGAGAAATCTGGCAAACATCACCTTAGCTAAGTGATCAAAGTTAGCACCCTCAATACTAGGACAAACTGACATCATGTGTATCCTGATGTAATGTAATGCACCAAGAAGGACACATCATCACTTCTGTGCTGTTCCTGCCAAAAATGCATAACCTGAACCATGAGGAAAGCATAGATAAACCCAAATTTAGGGATATTCTATGAAATAGCCAGCCTGTACATTTCCAAAATGTCAATGTCATTAAAGCCAAAGAAAGGCTGAGCGATGTCTCTAGATTAAAGGAGGCTAAAAAAAATCATGACAACTAAAAGCAGTATGGGATCCAAGATTGGATCCTGGATCAGAGGGGGAAAATGCAATAAAGGACATTAGAGAGAAAGTTGGCTACATATGGATGTGGACTGGATGTGAGATAGTACTACATCAATGTAAATTTCCGCATTTTGATAAATGTACCATAGTTACGTAAGAAACTATTCTTGTTCTTAAGAAAATGCCTGCTGAAGTATTTGGAGGGAAGGGACATGATGTCTCCAATTTACTCTCAAATATTATACTTCAAAAAGATATGTAAAGAGAGATTAAGGCAAACGTGGCAAAATGTTAACAGTTGGAGAAACTGGGTGAAGGATATGTGAGAGTTCTTTGTACCATTCTCACAACACTTCTGTAAGTTTGATATTATTTAAAAATAAAAAGTTTTTTAAAACCCTGCCATGGCTCCTCATTTGTCCAGAGCTTTACTCTTTGGCTTTACCAAAGTTCTTAAAATGTCGTGCAAGCCCCTATGTGATTTGGCCTCTGTCACCTCTCTTGCCTCCTCTCTCACCGCTCTGCTCCCTGCACACTGACCTCTCAGCCCTGCTCCTAGGAAGGCTCCAAGCACCCTGCAGCGCTCAGGGCATTGCCTCCTGCCCAGACGGCTCTTCGCTCAGGCAGCCCCATGGCTCACTCCCTTACTTCTTTCAGGTCTCCATTCACATGTCACCTTTTCAATGAGGACGTCCCTGATTGCCCCATTTAAAATTGAATTCCCCACCCTCCTTCTAGAAATCCTTTTATCTTTTTCTCATTTCTTTTTTTGCTATGGCATTTTTCACCTTCTAATATGTTACATGCTTTACTTATTTTTCTTGTTTATTGTCTGTCTACTCCCACCAGAACAGCAACTTTTTGAGGGGTGAGAGAGTTATCTGTTTTGTTCACTGCTGAGTCCCTAGCATCTTAGAAATATGCCTTGTACATATTGGGCCCTCAAATGTTTGTTGACTAAATAAATACCATTGAGGTTGAAAAATAAGTTGCAGAAGAATAAATGATAGTGGCTAACTAATAAGAAAGCAATTATTATGTATCAGGCAGTGTTCTAAGTGCTCTATGTATATTATCTCATTTATACCATAAAACACCAGAGGTGAATATCATCATCATCATCATCATCATCATCATTTCCATTTTGCAGATGAGGAAGCTGAGGCAGTGAGACATTAGGGAACCCAAGGAGTCTGGCTTCAGAGTGTGTTTCATTAGCTACTATGCTATACTGCCTCTCACATGGTATGATACCTTTTACATCATGTCAAAAAGCATGCAGATTTACGTCATGTTTAAAAACATGCAGTATTATTATACAAAATAATACTACATATTGTTAAAGGCCATCCACATATGTAGTAAATGTATGGAGGTATGCATAGGAATGGCAATGAGCAGGCATTCACTTGGATGGTAATGTTTAAGGTGACAACCAAATATAATTAAAATTGACGGCTGGGGGCAGTGGCTCACGCCTGTAATCCTAGCACTCTGGGAGGCCGAGGTGGGAGGATTGCTTGAGCTCAGGAGTTCGAGACCAGCCTGAGCAAGAGTGAGACCCCGTCTCTACTAAAAAATAGAAAGAAATTTGGCTAGGCAACTAAAAATATTAAAAAAAATTAGCCGGGCGCCGTGGCGTACGCCTGTAGTACCAACTACTTGGGAGGCTGAGGCAGGAGGATCACTTGAGCCCAGGAGTTTGAGGTTGCTGTGAGCTAAGCTGATGCCACAGCACTCTACCAGGCAACAGAGCAAGACTCTGTCTCAAAAAAAAAAAAAAAAAAGAAAGAAAGAAAAGAAACGGGAACAGAGTCACAATAAGTCATTCAGCTTAGCCCTCTCTGTGGGAGGACAAGTAAATGAGCAGAGCCATATGGCTATCTAGGCCTTCGAGTTTCCAGGAATGGGTGGCTCATAACATCCCATGACAGCCTTTTCTGGTGTTTATTAGCTCCTATCGTCAACAATGACTTATTTATGTCTAACCTCCATCTCCCATCAATATCAGCCCATTTCCTATTACTCTGTAGATATGGGGAGGAGATGGTCAACATTCTCCTTATAACCTTCCAGAGACTGGAAGCCACTCACTGAAGTCCTCCCAGGTGGCATTTTTTCCCTGACCAAAGAGTCCCTACCTCTTCGTTTTTTTGTGTGTTTCATTTTCCAATTGTTTTATTTGCACTATATTAGACTTTTAACAGAACAGTGTTTTTCTTAGAAAAAATAACACATGCAGATGATTAAGATTCTAACAGTACAAAAGCATATTCAGTGAAAACTGAGTTTCCTTCCCAACCAAGACCCCTCAGTTTCCCTCTCTAGAAGCAACTATTCTCACCAGGGTCTCCTTCCAAAGAAATTTTATGACATTTCCAAGTGTATATGAATATATTCTCCTCTAAATTCTCTTTTTCAATTCAACAAATATTCATTAAGCACCTACTATGCGTCAGGCACTGTGCTAACTCCTGTGACAGGGCACAAAAAGAATAGAGAGGTGTTTCCCTGTCTTCAGGAAGCTTACACTATATTAGGGGGGAAAAGCAGTCATTCATTTACGAAATATTGATTGAGCGCCCTCTATGTGCCTGCCAGGCTGCGTGTGAACCATTGAATAACATGGAGTTCCTGCCGTTCCAGAGCTTAGTGTTGTGGGGTAAGACAGAGCAATAAGCAGGCATGGTGTGAAATATAAACAAATGCCAAGGAAACGCCGAGATGCTCCTTGGCAATTACTCCACATCCTTTTGTAATCTGTGTGATCCTGTGGAGGGGGGTGGGGACAGATCACAAAACCTAAGCCCTGTGCCTAGTGGAAAGGAGAAGCAGTGGAGTCCTAGACAGGAGCAATGGCACACGAACCCAGTGCCGAGCACTGGGACAAGCAGTTTACACACGTTGTGTCACGTAATCTTCACAGCAATATGAGGCGAGTTCCATTATCCACGTTTTACAGATGAGGACACTGGGGGCTCCAGAAATGTTAGGGAATTGGCCCGAAGTCACACAGTTGGGATTCAAACTCAAGTCATTCTGCAAAGCCTGGGCTCTAATTCATTACACTGATCAAAGTTCGTGGGCTTGGGGGGAGTGAATCATGGGTGATTCTGATATACCTCCTCCTTCCCTCTTCCGCTGTGGAGAATCCTGGCCTACAGATTGGTTGAATCATCCTCCTATTTGACTGAATTTTTCCATTTAAAGCATGAGATGGAGAGGAAAATGCACTGGTCTGGGAGTCAGAAGACCTTGGTTCCAGCTCCTGTTTTGCCGTTCACAAGCTTTATGACTTTGGGCAAATCATTCTACCCTTTGGACATCAGGGTCATCTGTGAAGTATGGAGCCTCACAGGATTCACCTTGAATCCTTGATGGGATTTGGTGATATTTCTATCACCCCAAAGGGGCTGTAATGACATCTTCTGGGACCAAAACTACATCCCCATCTTGAGAATAGCATGAAACCAATTCAGTAAACGTATTTATTTTCAAGGCAATTTGAAGAATGGATCTCCAGTGAGGGTAAACAACTGGCTTCACCTTATAGACAGTGTGAGATGTGAACATGTTAATGCCTTCTTGGCCTTTGCTTTCTGCTCGTAGTTCTGAACACCACCCCTCCCGCTCCCCATTTTCTCAATAAAGTGAAATGAGCAAGTAGCTGTTTAATATATCCAATTTAATTAAAGTAATAATCAAGTAGGAACTGAAGATAATCCTTAGTGAAAACTGGGAAAGAGCCATCAAATTAACAGGTTATTGCAGGTGTGTAATAACCTGAGAACTTTGCTCATGCTGATTTTATGCTCGAGAGAGCAGCCCCATGACGTGCTGCAAGCCACAAAAAGAGGATCTACCTGAGTCAACAAGCCCCATAAAGCTAAGAGCAGAGAGGCTGGTTTGATCCACAAAAGAAGGTGACCGAAGCATGGCCAGCAGATAATGACTCTCTTGTTTTCTGCTCCTTCCATTTCACATCAAATATAGGGATTTAGAGACCAGATCTGGTCATTTAGGGGTGGGAAGTTAAAGGAGTTCAGCTCTCGGGTAAGTGTCTCTCTTCCGTCCTCCCTCCCTTCCTTCTTTCCCTCCTTCCATTTCTCTCTATCCTTTCCTCCTTCTCTCCTCTCCTCCTTTCTTCCTTTAACTTTTCTTAAATTATAAAAATGACCAACACTCATCATAAAAGAACCAAATTGCATGTAATTGCATGAGGTATAAGATACAAGTCCTTAATCTCCACCCTTTCTTTCTACCTTTTTCTACCTTTATCTCCTTCACTTACTTCTTTCAATTTTTTCAAAATTATGAAAGTAATGCATGCTCATTGTAAAATAGTCAAATAGTATAGAATTATAGGGGCTATGAAGGAAACCTAATTAATTCCCATGCTTCTTTCCTCTTTCTTCTCCTTCCTGTCCTCCCTCCCTTCCTCTCTCCCTCCTTTCCTTCCTTTCTCCTTTCCTTCAATTTAAAAAATTATATAAGTAATGTATTATTATTGTAAAAGAATCAAGCAGTATATCATGGTATAGTATATAAAGGAAAAGTCCTCTAGCCCCCCTCCTTTCCAACCCACCTCTCATGCCTGACATATAGATTTACCTTATTCCTTTCAATGGCTGCATAATATTCTCTTGTGTGAATGCCCCATGATTTATTTATTGGGTGCCAGGTAAGTTTCTGAAACATACCTTGGAATTGTTATAAAAGTTTAGAGGAAATGGAAGAAAAATATAAATTGGATTGTTTGCTACTGAAAATTCCATTTCATAGATAGTGATCATATCCAATCATATCCACTTTATACTTTGAAAATTGCCTTCGAAATATCATCTCATTTGATCCTCTTCTAGAGCAGCTCTGGGAAATAGGCAGATTATTATCTCTATTTTTTACAGATAAGGAAACTGAGGCCCATGGAAATTAAGGAATGGAAATATGTATGGTCTCACAGCCAGTTACTGATTCTCAGTCTAGTCTTCTTATGGCACTATAAATTTAAGGGGCATTTCATCTTGAAAGTCATAAAAGATTTAGACACTCCCTTACTTCTAAGCTCATAATTTAGAAAATTCATCTAAGTCATACAAATTCCCTTATTATTCTAATGAGAATGGCAGTAGAACACTTGGTAAATATGAAGAGCCTGATTAATGGCTGGCGCTCATAGCAAGCCCAAGATTCATTTGATTTCCTGATTGGCTTCTGTTACATTAAATGTAAAGTAAGTCTATTCATCCCACTTACAAGTGGAGAGAGACATAATATGTAGCATTATCCTATAGAAAAGGAAATGTTTAAATCAGCAGTAAATCATTCATAAGTACGTTTTATTTAAAATCAGAAAATGCCCATCAGCACCCTACTGCCAAGGCTCTGTAGTATGTTTCTGTAGGATTTGCCATTTTAAGACCATTTTTTTTGGGAAAGAAGGGGAGTTTTCAGTGTGTTTCCCAAATAAGAAGCTTTAGTTACAATTAATTAAGGAGAGAAGCTGCATGAATGTAATGAAATGGTGGTCAGGTTTCTCTAAACAGATCTGTTTTAAAAATAGGAATGATTTGATGAGTTACATTTGTCAGTAAGGTCTTCTTGCATTGCGTTCCTTCAAAAAATTTCGGACCATTAAAACTGCAAGTAGTTGGGTTGAAGTTGTGTGCATTAGGGTTGAATGCATCACATTTTGTAATTGTGCATTTAGTGTCTGTCTTCTCTACTGGGCTTTGTCCCATGAAGGCAGATATCTGTCTTGTCTTCTCAGTGCTGTATTCCCAGTGGGTAATACAGTGTCTTCATATAGCAGGGAGTCAATACAATTTATTGAGTGACTCTACAGATAAATCAATGAGGGTTCAGCCAGGCCGGATAACTCAGGTAAGCGTCTATCTTGGGGTTGGCTGACATGACTTTAAGCAATGGGACAAAACCTTAGGTGGGATGAGAAGGAGAAGTGCAGTAACATATACTTAGAAATTGTTCATTCTGACTCTGAGCTGAGTATATTTCTGACTTTTTGAATACAGATTTAGACAATGAAAGAATACATCATATATCAGAGGCTTTATGGATTGTTTCTCATGTCGAGTTTTATCTTTCTCTCAGGTAAGAAAATGTATTCTTATTATCTCTTCCAATGTCTCATATACAGTAGGTTATAGAAATAAACCATTTGAAAAATACTACCAGTGGAGATTTGCTGGGCTGCCCCTCAGTGGCCTCCTTTTGGTCAATATGGCTGTAGGACAAGCTGGAGCTTCAGCAAATGAGTCCGTTCATTCACTATTACGCACGACGGGTAGAGAACTGGCCTCAAGCAGGAAATAGTTTGAACTACTGCTTTTGACATTTCTTAATGCAACTCTGAAATGCCATTTGGAGGCTAATGCACACTTAACAGAAGATTTGGGTTTTCTTTTGGACTATTTCCTCTCACACATAGTGCTTCATTTAAAGCTCTCTGGAGCATTGTAATAACATCTTTCTGTCTCCATTATATGTATACAGCAATGATCATAGAATACAGATGGGGAAACTGAGGTATGCCAACAGCTGGTAACTGATGCACAATGACAGACAGGCATATCTTCTGGAAGGGCCCAGACCTTGCCCAGACTCTGTGAAAGGAATGGAGATAGATTCTTTGTTTCTATTTTGCAGCGAATAGATAAAACCATTCACTGAAGTAGCTGATAATTTGGGGACTTAAGGAGAAGGTGGTCTTGGAAAACTGCAATCTTGTCCATATTAAGTAAATTCAGTTGCTAGCATTGCTCATTCAGCACATTAGTCTTTAGCCAAAAGGTCACAAATGCTAGTGAGTGACAATTCCTAATGAAATTGACTTAGAGTTTAATTTGAACAGTCCTTAGATTTGAGAGCTAATCTTCTGAAAAAATATCAAATCATCATCACTATGAACAACGAACACTGACTGGCTTCCTGCCACATGCAGGGTCTGATGGGAAACCATGTTTTTTTATAATAAAGGTTGAAATGGGGCCCATGGGGCACAGTGGCAGCTCTGTCACCTGGCCTTGCCTACCTGCTAAGATGTTGATTTATCTTTCCTCAGCCTGTTTCCTCAAAGGCAAAAAACTCTATTTTCTCCATTTCTTTATCCAAAGCATCCAAACACAGGTCTTGACACACAGGTTAGGCACTCAGTACATATGTGATGATTTAATAAATTAGTGCGATTTGAAACTATAAAACTTTGAACATCTGTATGGTGGTGGTTTACAAGACTCAAACTCTGGTGGGTTTTTGTGAAGGGTCATGGGGCATGCAATAGAGCAATCTAGGAATAGAGGGATGTAAGAGTCTAGTATAAACATTCGATCTTCTTAGCGAAGTATCACAAGAATGGAAAAACACCACATGTACTTAATACTAAATTAGAACTAATTGATCAATACTTACGTGCACATATGGAAGTAAAACTCAAGGGAAATCAAGTATGTGGGAGGGTGAGGAGGCGATGGGTAAATTCACACCTAACAGGTACAATGTATACTAACTGGGTGAAGGGCACACTTATAACATTGACTCAAACTGTACAAAAGCAAATTATGTAACCAAAATGTGTGTACCCCCATAAAATTCTGAAATAAAAAAGAAAAAACAAACAAACAAACAAACAAAAAAGGGTCTAGTATAGCCAGGGAATAAAAAGTGGAAGAGTGTGTGGTACTGAAAAGTTTAGATGGGTTTCGTGAGGAATGTCATTGGTCAGTGAAAATTATGATAGATGTGCAGATTTTAAACACACAGAAGTTACTTTAAAGCAGTCACAAAGTTTTCCAGACTGTTTAAGTCTCAAATTCATGAGTCATGGCAATGATTTTTTAGGTTATCAAACAATTAGGTATAATTGTTCTTCGATTGGTGAGAAATTCATCACTTTCTTCCTGGAAAAAAATACTCTGTCCTTGAAACACTAGTATAACTATGGGTCAATCTGGTTCAGGCTCCAGATGAGTCATTGGCCTTTCAACTGTGAGGATCACTGTGGGGAAGAGCTTAAGGTCAGATCAAACAGAGGGTGACTCAGAGACGCTCTGACTGGACGGAGACAGTGAAGAGCAAAACTGTGTCCATAGAAGTATATGAAGGATCAAGAAGGGGAAATCAAATCTAATAAAGTCCAAGGGGCTGCAAGCAGGGTCAGAAAGAAGGGTGAGGATTGATGTCAGGAGCTGGATAGATGCAGAATGGAGTAGGAGATAAGGAATAAAACATAAATGAGAGAAAAGGGCCTAGGACTTAGACTGTAAATAGGACTTGGTTTCCTGGTGCTCTGTCTTACTCTACTCAGGTTACCAAAAAAAAAAAAAATACCATAGACTGGGGGGCTTAAACAATAGGTATTTATCACAGCTCTGAAGGCTGGAAGTCCAAGAGAAGATGCCAGATGATGCTGTTCCTGGTGAGGGCTCTTTTCCTAGCTTGCAGATGGCCACCTTCTCCCTGCACCCTCACATGGCAGAGAGAGAGGACTCTGTTTTCTTTCTCTTCTATAAGGGCACTGATTCCATCACAGGGCCTCCACCTTCATGACCTCACGTAAGCCCAATTACCTCCTGAAGGCCACACCTCCTGATACTATCACATTGGGGGTTAGGGATTCAACACAGGAATTCAGTGGGAGGGGGGTGCTATAAGCATTCAGTCCGTAACACGCTCCCTCCTCTTACCAGTGCTGGCTATTGGCTATGTAATGACTGCAAAATGGGTAGGTGGGTAGGTTTGGGTTAAAGACACAGGGCTAGAGTAGTTGTTCCAAAGTCTCCCCCATGACATGCACATGCACAGACACACCCCCCCTCACATGCCAAGTGGAATAGGACAGGCTTTGCTGGGTGAAAGAGTGTAATATATTCTGGAACATTCTTGAGGTGGGAGGCTAAGTTTTGTGAGACATGATCATAGGGTGCTGAAGGCAGCCAGCCTCTATAGTGAGTACCATTTGCTCCTATATTGGATAGTCAATCCGAGCTGAAATCAACTTTCTTGAGAAGCTCTCACATATGCAGAGACAACCTGACCAGGAATCCTTTTGAGACAGGAGGGCAGCAAAGCCATGTCAGAAAATCAGTCCTTATGCTATAGAGACCAACTAGGTCAGGGTCAGTCAGGATGCAATAAGAGTATAAAAGTAAAGAAGCTCTTCATCTGATAGGTGTTTGTGTAGCCAGGATTTAGGAAAAGCCCCATTTTTTTTGAGAAACTCATTTGGTGTAAAAGCAAAAGTGGAGGATAAACTTTGAGTAGCAACTCTAAATTTCTGTATAAACCCTAGAGTTGAGCTGTCCAATATGGTAATTACTTGCAACATATGGCTAAGTTTTTTTTTTTTTTTTTTTTTAGACAGAGTCTCACTCTCTTGCCTGGGCTAGAGTGCCGTGGCGTCAGCCTAGCTCACAGCAACCTCAAACTCCTGGGCTCAAGCGATCCTCCTGCCTCAGCCTCCCAAGTAGCTGGCACTACAGGCATGTGCCACCATGCCCAGCTAATTTCTCTATATATTTTTAGTTGTCCAATTAATTTCTTTCTATTTTTAGTAGAGACAGGATCTCGCTCTTGCTCAGGCTGGTCTCAAACTCCTGAGCTCAAACGATCCACCCGCCTCGGCCTCCCAGAGTGCTAGGATTATAGGTGTGAGCCACCACGCCTGGCCATGGCTAAGTTTTAACTAATTAAAATTCAGTTCTCAGTGACACAAACCATGTCTTAAGCACTCAATAGTTACAAGGTGGCTAGTTGCTACCATATTGGGCAGTGCAGATAACATTTCTATCATCACAGAAAGTTTTATTGGACACTGCTGTTATAGAAGGTTGTGGGGACTGGCTCTTTATGAAAAGACATTTACTTTAAACAGCTTTATTGAAATGTAATTTATATACCATAAAATTCACCCATTTAAAGTATACAATTCAATAGTTTTTGTATATTTACAGAATTGTGCAACCATCACCACTATCTAATTCCAGAACATTTTCATCATCCCCCCCAAAAAACTACATACTCTTCATTCCTCCCTCAACACTCCAGCCCTTGGCAATCACTAATCTGCTTTCTGTCTCTATGGGTTTGCCTATTCTGGACATTTCGTATAAATGGAATCCTATAATGTGTGGCCTTTTGTGTCTGGCTTCTTTCACTTAAGATAATGTCTTCAAGGTTCATCCATGTGTAGCATATTATCAGCAGTTCATTTCTTTTTATTACTAAACAATATTCAATTGTATGGATAAGCCTCATTTTATTCCATTCATTAGTTGATGGACATTTGAGTTGTTTTGAACATTTGAGTACAGTTTTTTTCTTTTGGGGTGGGGGGGGCAGAGTCTCACTCTTTTGCCCGGGCTAGAGTGCCGTGGCGTCATCCTAGCTCACAGCAACCTCAAACTCCTGGGCTCAAGCGATCCTCCTGCCTCAGGCTCCTGAGTAGCTGAGACTACAGGCACACAGCACGAATGCCCAGCTAATTTTTTTATTTTTAGTAGAGACGGGCTCTCACTCTTCCTCGGGCTGGTCTCGAACTCCTGACCTCGAGCGATGCTCCCGCCTCGGCCTCCAGAGAGCTAGGATTACAGTTGTGAGCCACCGTGCCCGTCCACTTTCATTTCTTTTATGACTATACCTAGGAGTAGAATTGTTGAGTCATATGTAACTTTATGATTAGCATTTTAAGGAGCTCACAGATCATTTTCCAGAGTCCGCATCATTTTACATCCCCACTAGCAGTGTTTTGTTTTGTTTTTTTTTGAGACAGAGTCTCGCTCTGTTACTTGGGCTAGAGTGCTGTGCCATCGGCCTAGTTCACAGCAACCTCAAACTCCTAGGATCAAGTGATTCTCCTGCCTCAGCCTGCTGAGTAGCTAGGATTACAGGCATATGCCACCACGCCTGGCTAATTTTTCTATTTTTAGTAGAGACGGGGTCTTGCTCTTGCTCAGGCTGGTCTCCAACTCCTGACCTCAAGTGATCCTCCCGTCTTGGCCTCCCAGACTGCTAGGATTGCAGGTGTGAGCCACTGCACCTGGCCCACTAGCAGTGTTTGAGGGCCCCAATTTCTCCACATCCTTGTGAACACTTGT